TGTGAGTAGCTGGAATTAAAGGCATGTACCACCATGCCCAGCCAATTTTGTATTTTCTGTAGAGATGGGTTTTCACCATGTTGGCCAGGCTGGTCTTCAACTCCTGACTTCATGTGATCCACTAGCTTCCACCTCCCAAAGTGCTGGGATTATAGGCATGAACCAATGTGCCCACCCACTTCGTTTATTTTCATTTCTTCCCCTCCATCTTCCCTTATTAGTATTATAAAGTTTATGGGAATGGTTTCATAGATAGATGGAATTTATAAAGAGCAAAAAGGAGCACTAAATAGTAAATAATATCTAGTTACAATGTTCAAAGGTATGAAGCGACATTTCTCTGAAGAGTATATAAAAATGAAAAGCACATTTTAAAATGTTCATTATTACCTACTTTATGGAAATCTAAATTTAAGACAATGAGATATTACTACATCTATTAGAATGGCTAAAATGAAAAGAGTAATGAAATCAAATGTTGGAGAAGTTGGAAAGACATGTAATAAGGCATACATTGTTGGTGGGAATGTAAAATGGTACAGTCATTTTAGAAAATAGTTTGACATTTAAAAAAAAAAAAAAAAAACTAAAATGTCACTACCACATAAACCAGCAATTAACTCCTGAGAATTTATTACAGAAAAATGAAAATTTTATTTATGCAAAAACATATATGCAAGAGACCTAACTGTAGTAGCTCCAAACTGGAAGCAACCCAAATATTGTTTCATGGGTAAATAAACAAATTGTAGTAAACCATACTATGAAATACTATGATCAATAAAAAGAAGCAAACTATTAATATACACAACAACCTAAATGAATCTCTGCACATTTATTCTAATTGAAAAAAATGCCAATTATGAAAAATTACATGCTGCATGATTTCTTTTATATAAATTTTTAATCACCAGATTATAGTAATGGAGAAGAGATGAGAGGTTGCAGTAAGTTTAAAGGGAAGGTGGGAAACAAGTCAGTGTAAAGATACAAGTACAAAATTAAGGATTCTTGCTATGAAGGAAATTTGTATTTTGCCTGTATCAATGCCAATGTCCTGGTTGTGTTACAGTACCATAAACATTTTAAGATCTTATTATGAGGTAAAACAAGATCTCTCTGTATCATTACTTGCAACTACACAGTAAAATGCAATTATTTTAGAACAAAATATTGAATTTACAATATAAACCCAAAAGATAAAATAAAAATCAAAAGTTGTATAGCTCCCAAGCACATATATAAAACTAAGAAAATAAAATCATTTAAATAATTTATCCAAAACATAGGATAAAAGAAGAAAAGGAGGAAGAGAACAGAATGGACAAACAGAAAAAAAAAAAAGGTAAATTATTTTCACTTAATTATTTCAATTATCACATTAAATGCAAATGGTTTAAATACCCTAATTAAAGGACAGAGGTTATCAGATTGGAATAAAGAAAAACCAGGCTCAATGATTTCTGCTTACAAGACATGGACTTCAAATATAAAAGCACAACTAAATTCAAAGTAAAATTATGGAAAAATTCTATGAGAGAAATAGATGGAAGAGAGTAGAGAGCCAGAAATGTTTGTACAACTTATTTTTTATAAATATGCAAATTTCATAGAGAAATTATATCTTTTCAACAAATGGTACTACAAATATTGAGTATATACAAAAACTGAATAGATCCGTACATAGTACCTGTGATTGTTCACTTTATGTATGTAATGTAACTGGAGCATGGGGTGACCAGATATTTTATTAACTGTCATTTCCAGACATGTCTGTGAGAATGTTTCTAAATGAGGTTAGCATTTGAATTGGTATACTAAGTGGAGCTGATTGCCCTCACCAGTGTGAGTGGGAGTCGTCTAGTACACTGAGAGTCTAAATACGACAAAACGTTGAAAGAAGGAAAAATCCACTCTCACTGCCTGACTACTTGAGCTAGAACATTGATCTTTCTCCTGCTTTTGGATTGGAGATTGCATCCTTGATTCTTCTGGTGCTTAGGCCTTTGACCTTGTACTAGAATTTATATCATCCGTCCTCTCAGATTTCAAGCTTTCAGACACAGACAGTGACCGCACCACTGGCATCTATAGGTCTCCAGCTTGCAGGTAGAAGATACTGAAATATCTCAGTTTTCATAATTGTATGAGCCAGTGTGTGTGTGTGTGTGTGTGTGTGTGTGTGTGTGTGTGTGTTTGTGTTGTGTGTATAAAATCTCTTAATGGTTCTGGGTATCTGAAGAACTGTGACTAATACAGTACCATATGTGCAAATTAACTCTAAATGAATTATATGGATAATTGTGGAACCTATAAAACTTCTATAAGAAAATACCAGAGGAAACCTTTGTGACCCTGCATTAGGCATATCTAAAATTTTTTAGATATGATGTCTAAAACATGATTCAAAAATGCTGATAAATTATCAAAAAGAAAAAACTCCTTTTCAAAAGACAGTATTAAAAGAATGGAAAGACATGGCTAAAATTGGTAGAAAATACTTGCAGAATACATTTTTTTAAACTCTCAAGTCATTAATAAGAAAACAATCAATGCAATATAAAATGGGCAAAAGATTTGGTGATACTTGACCAAACAAGATATATAAAAATCAAATAAGCACATTAAAAGATATTCATCATCTTTAATCACTGGGAAAATATGAATCAAAACCACAATCAGGAACTACTACATTCAAATTAGATAGTTTAAAATTGAACAAACTAACCACATCAAGTGTTGGTGAAGATGTGGGGAAACTAAGTTTTGAGTTTTATTCATTCATAGTAGGAATGTAAAATGGTACAACTACTTTGAAAAACATTTGAAAGTTTCTTAAAAAGGTAGACCTATACTTACCATATTATCCAGCCATTCCATTCCTGGGTGTTTATCTAAAGGACAAGAAAGTGTATGCCCATACAAAGACTTTTATACATATATTCCTAGTAATCTACTACTACTATTTTTAACATCCAAAATGGGAAACGGTCTAAATGTCTTTCAATAGGTGAATGGATTATAAATTTCATATATGCATACAGTAGAATATACTCAGTAATGAAAGTGAATAAACTGTTGTCACATGCAGTAACAGATGAAACTCAAAATAATCATGCAGGTGAAAGAAACCATGTAAAAAGAGAACAAATACTGTCTAATTTCATTTATAAAAATTATAGAAAATGCAAACTATTGTACAGCAAGTATCAGAAAGCAGATCAATGATTGTTTAAGTAGGATGGCGCAGGAGAAAAGAATTACGATAGGTCATGAGGGATCTTTTGGAGATAATGAATGCATTAATTATCTTGATTGTAGATGTGATTCATGATGTCAACACTTATGAAATGGTATACTTTATATATGAGCAGTACCTCAATAAAACTGCTGCACACAGACACACATACACACATATTTAAGAAGTAGCAAGATTTGCTGATAGATCTAAGTCTGTCTTGAAAAAAAATTTTACATAGTTTAACATAGGGACCTTTTTATATCCTCAAGATGTAGGACAAAGAAAATATGAATTGGAATAGTTGTTTCACTGTTTCAAAACTAGTCAGGATCGCAGATATGGGAGATTTTCTCTCCCAAGCATGTGTTAGAGAAGTTAACTTTCACAGATTTCACAGATACCGTTCCCTGCTTTTGTTACACTACCATATTCAGTGCCATCCCAACCCACCTCACAAATGTTCTTGCCATAAAATTTTACATTTCATAAGTAATGTTGGTAACTAATGGAAATGTTGGTAACTAATGGAAAGATAAAGTTGATTTTGATGTTTTTATCTTCTTCAGAATTCTTAGTATTTCATGAAAACCACATACAGTTGTGTTTCAAATACCTCAAATCACTCTCAGGCACCCAGAATAACATTTGAAGTATTTATGGCTCTTCTTATTCAATATCAAACATCTCTTCACTAAAATAATGTTATCCTGAATAAAGGATATTCAGTATAAAGGAAAAAAAAAAGATGATTAGCCATAAGTGGAAATTGAAAAATTATTTGAGCCTTCTGCCATCAACAACAACAAAAAAGTAGAGATAACACTACAGGCTATTACTACTTTAATCTCTACACCTATTCATAAATAGCCACTGTAATTTGTTGCATATTTTTTCAAAACTTCTTCCTTGCATGTGATAGCTTGACTAGGTAGACCTAGTCAGAATACAGCAAGGTCCTGTAGAAAACTTATATTTTGGCCCGGTGCGGTGGCTCATGACTGTAATCCCAGCACTTTGGGAGGCCAAGGTGGGTGGATAACTTGAGGTCAGTAGTTAAGACCAGCCTGGCCAACATGGTAAAACCCTACAAAAATTATCCGGGCATGGTGGCATGTGCCTGTAATCCCAGCTACGCAGGAGGCTGAGGCAGGCGAATTGCTTAAACCCAGAAGGAGGAGGTTGCAGTGAGCCAAAATCATGCCACTGCTCCTCATTCTGACTGACAAAGCAAGACTCTGTCTCAAAAAAAAGAAAAGAAAACTTGTATTTTATTTCTATTCCTTTATTCCCTTCATACCCTCCTCAGATTCTTCTTCTTTCTCTTACTCTTTTAATATGTTTTGTTGTTGTTTTTGTTTCAGGACAGTATTTTTTTTTTCTTTCAATTTCTTCATGAAGCTCTCAAACTGAGAAGCCAAAATATTTTATGTATTAGTGAAGCAAAGAATTGGCTTAACAGAAGTGCAGTTTATTGGACACATAATTTACATCACCTCTCCTCCCAGTAGTTTTTATGTAGACAATTCACTTTTGTTTGGCCTTATGAAAAATGCAATATTGCTGTGCAAATACAGCCACTAGGACTCTGCAGTAGGAAAGAAGTTGCGAGTAGGATGGGACATAGCAATTGGATACACCACCAAAGTCATTTACCACAGATCTCTTTTAACCAAACTCCTTTAGAAATAGCATTACTAGGAGATTTTAAGTTTTAACACAATTCTTCGTTTTATTTCCCCTTGATTTCGGTGTTTCACAGCTGCCGAAGGAATGGTGTGCAACCATCTGTGTTCAAGTGATGGCTGCTGGGGACCTGGGCCAGACCAATGCCTGTCGTGTCGTCGCTTCAGTAGAGGAAGGATCTGCATAGAGTCTTGTAACCTCTATGACGGGTAAGGCTTCTAGTGTTGCCTTCACCTCGTGAGCTTTGAAGGATTGATTAGCTCTGATTTTTAAATTATAAGAAAGTGGTAAAATGCAGGCCAGGATTTTTAAGGAGAGCTCTTGTTGCATAAAAGAGACAACACATAGACAAATTCTTTTAAGGATAAATAATTTTATTTGAAATGGCAAGTTCAAATACATATTTTACTATTATATACATTTTTAAAAAACATACGTGGACAATTCTTAATAAATTATAGCAATTTATTCTTAATCAAAATTGAAAAATATAATACAATTTTCTTTATAAAGATTGTTACAAGTAACCTTCCTCTCCATATGTCCCAATTTTTTTTATTTTCCTCTCATACTTCCCTATAAATTTCATCTGGAGTGCAAGTTTTCTTGTTTTTTTTTTTTTTCTTTTTTTTTTCTTTTTTATGAATGGCTTATTTCTATGTCTTTGACAAGTGCTTAGCCCTATAGAAAACCTAACATTGTAGTTTCTGGTTGAAGTGGTTTTGAAAGTGTTCTGTCAGTTTTTAGTTAATCTTAGCATTTTAAATCAGGTATTTGTAATTTTTTCTGGTACTTCAATAATAACATTGCCAATAGTAGAACCTAGTAAGTACCTAGTTGTATAACCTTTTGTATAGTCATAAAATCACTTCATCATAACATACTATTTGATGTATCATTATTGTTCTTCATTGATGTGATAATGCATATTTAGTGCTGCTCCTAACTCAAATTTTCTTATGTTGCTCACTGAAAGTATTTTCAATAGTTTTGGAAAATATACTTTTGAAGTTCTTTCTCCTTGTGCCTCATGAATTATCCTATTGATACCAAATTAATAACATTTTAGTTTTGCATTTTACATGAGAAAAATAAAAATCTATGGGTCATAATGACATTGACATATCTCTTCTTTGCACGATGTCCAAAAGCAATTCCCTCCCTAAAATATAAGGGGAAAATATTAATATTAGAAGCATAAGATTATAAAAATTTTTAAATAAGAATTTAACCATTTTTCAGGAAAATTTTAGCATTTAGTTTTGTGAGGTAAAATTGGCTGGTAATTTGAAAATGAGCAGGAAATTATTTGCTGCTTGTCTCATTTAATTATATTTATGCTTTTTCCCAATATTATGAACATAAAATACCTCAGATCAAAATATGCTTGCTTTTGTGTTCAGCAATTGATAAATGAAGAAAAACACAATAGACTAATAAAATAAAATGAAACACAATAGATGAGTTTCATTAAGTGAATATTACATTAAAAGTTTATAGAATGTATATGTGCAATTCTAAAGAGGAAATTAATTATAGAAATCATTTTGTGTAATAGCAGCATCTTATAAATAGAGGAAACTGATGTAATTAAGTATGGGCTAAAGTCACAACACTCTATAGAAATCAAGCCAATGCTAGAATTTAGGATATCTGATTTTTCATCTATTTTTCCCCCAGAACACCATTCTTTTTGTTTAATATTACAGTTTTTAGCTTTTCAGAAATATGGAATTTATAAACGTGGATATGTATACCAGTTTCTGTCTCATTTCTGCAAAACAATGAAAGCTAACCGAAAGAAAAATACAGGTTTCCAGAAGAAACACTGATTACCCTACTGTTTTTGATATTTAGCATATTTCATATTTATGTCACGAAATCAAATCTGTTAAATTAACTTAGTTTTTAATGTATTTTGAAGTAATTTTGGCACCCCAGGAAATCATAAGCATGGGTCTAGTTTGAAAGAGGATCAACGTATGTGTCTTGTAAAAGTCTGGTGTAATTCTTACCTGCCCAATAATGGATTGCACACCTTCCATCTTGTGGTATGGGCTAGTCTCTTCCAACAGTATCTAATGGTTATGATAGCCTTTGAGGAAGAACAAGTCTAGATCCCAACTTCAGTATTTCCTAGTTGAAACATCCAAACTTGGGCAAAAGATCTAATCATTCTAAATTGGTTTCATTATATTAAAATTGGAAATAATAATGGTGTTAACTTTATAGGATAGTTATGATTATCAAATGAGAAAATGAATAAGATCTTATTGGAGTTTATTTCATAAATATTATCATTATTTCCTTTTTCATCTATTTATCTGAGTTGATTAACTGGTTAAATAGAATGGTCATTTTAAAAACTACTGAAAGTAATGAAATATAAATATGACATTTGCCAAATCCAGGGAACCTATTTGTTATAACACATATTATATATATATATTTGTTATTTATAACATGTATTATATATATATGTTACATATATGTGTGTTACATATGTAACATATATGCTTTATGTGTGTGTGTGCATGTGTGTGTGTGTGTGATATATATATATATATATATATATATATATATGTAAAATGTGTGGCTCCAGAAGAGAAGAAATCCTAAAAAGAGGATGTTTGGAAGGGAAAAACAACAATCAGTCAATTACTGGCTGAGTAGTATTCAAATCCATGTCATATAAATCACTGTGTAACAGCAACTCTTAACTACAATGCTCAAGCAATAAAAATAAAAAAGATAAGTAACTGCAATGGAACTTTAGAACTTCTCATATCTGTCAACATGTTTAATCTCTTCTGAATGTTTAAGAACAATACAGAAACATCAAAGAAGGCACCAGTCTAAGGTCTTTGCAAGTGTTTTTACATTTAATAATTGCATCTTCTCAATGAAATTTTATTTTTCCCTTTTACAGAGGGTATTTAAAAAACTGAGGCTTAAGGAAGTTGAAGTATTTAAGGCCTAGAAATATTAGGGTTGTTCCTGTGGTTTAAATTTGGAAAAACTAGATTCCAGAGTATTCACTCTTGATCATAGGACTTGCTAAGGTAGCACATACAGCAAAACTGTGAGAAACGTATCATAGCAAAGCCAAGTGAAACAAAGCTCAGTTTGCAAAGCTCAAACTTAATAGACTACAGATTGATAAATGGGATTCAAATGAAAGGGTAAAGTAACTCTGGCAAAGTCACAGTAGAATCACTAGAGGACAGGGAAGAAAAAGAGAAATATGGAGAAAGTCACAATAAAGGACAGAGGAAGTAATAAAGATTTCAAGGAGGATCTTTTCTGAGAGCAGTAAATCAGAAGCCTGATGAGTGGAAGTCTTGAAGAAAAGCGCCATAGGCCCTCTCCATAATTGTTTTATGACATATATTTTATTCCTCAACTCTGCATGTGGGGAATTGAGTTTTGGAGAAGGAGAGTAAGAAAAGCATGACCTTTGTTCTAGTAATATGAAAATTATGACCTTCATTTAGTACCGTAAACTTTTGATCACCCAAGAAACTCTTATCCAAAACCAGTGGATATTCTCAAGTTGTGCTATGTCATAATTTTCTTACACAAACAATGCTTTTGATTATCTTTACAATTTACCCTCTCATACCAGCTCATTTTGAATTTTATATTCTGAAGGGTTCCTTTGTTGAGTACTTTGTATGGTTTATGTCAATGAAAAGATCACCTGTCTTCGTGTAATTGTAATTTTAAAATCAAGGAAATTTATAAAAAAGTTTGATTCCTAACAAACTACTATCTTACTTTATAAAATTCATAATCCATGTAACTAAATTTATGTGCATTCCATACATAATTAAGGCATCTATGCTATTCACTTAGAAAACCAAACTTAATTATTTTGCCTTGGAATATAGATGTAGTCTTAAGTTAATGAACAGAAAACATAGCTCACTTTTTTACTTCTGTCATTTATTAAGACTTTATAGTATTCAAATAAGAAAAAGCGTTAATGCATCACTTTAGGGAAAAATATATTTTAATATATCACCCAATAAAACAAAAATTGCCATATACACAATGCTGTTGGTTTGGAGTTATAGCACAGGACAGAAAAGCACAAAATAATAAAGTAGCTAAATATAGTCAAATTTTATTAACAATTTATAAATGACATTTTCAATTTTCTGTACTCAGTACCTTATCCTTCTGTATTTTAGTGGAATCGGGTGGTTTAAACATATTGTAGATGACTGGTATCTAATTATCCATATAAAAACTTTAGAGTAGACATTGATTGTAAAATTTATAAGTTGATAACATGTAATATACAAATAGCCACAAAAATGTAAGGATATAGGAAGGAATGACCACCATCCCAGGGGATTTCAATTAGAAAATTTTAGGATTTTACCATTAAACTATTTCTTATATTGTATACCATACAGAATTACTTCAAAAAGAATTTAGACTGCAAAAAGCTGTTGTGATACTAGATCAATAATCTAAGAAAAGGAAATCTACCGTGAAAAGATAGTTTCCCTAATTCTCCAAAGCAGATATTTTAAAAGGAGAAGAGGAATCAAAGCAGTTTTTGAAGTTTCACCAAAAATAAATTGAAGAGTGTTGGGATTTGAAGGACAAGGAATGGGAACATTCATTTAACTTAGCAAGAAGAAAAATACAATAGTTCTTTCAGAGTTTAGAAATTAAAGCTTCTCCAAGAGTAAAATTGTATATAAAGACAAAACAGGTACAGCCTGATTGAAGAAGGTAAAAATCATTCTGCAGTGTCTTCAGAAGAGTTATACTTTGTACCTTTTTTTTCTTTCTTTCTTTCTTTCTTTTTTTTTTTTTTTTTTTGAGACTGCTGGAATATCTCTTGCAGCAGAGAGGTTTCCTGAATGAGTCTATCATTGAACTCAATGGAGGGCAGGGAGAGCCATCTGGCTGCAGTTTATCTTTTCTTCTAATGGAAAACTTAATGTTTCTGATGCTCCTGGCACATGGAGAAACAAACTCTAGAATTTACTCTGCCAATAGGACTTTTAGCAGATGTTACTTCATTTGTTAAGTTGACAGCTTGTTTGCTTACACCTCCTCATGTGGCTGATGTTTTCACAGTGAATTTCGGGAGTTTGAGAATGGCTCCATCTGTGTGGAGTGTGACCCCCAGTGTGAGAAGATGGAAGATGGCCTCCTCACATGCCATGGACCGGTAAGCCTGAAGACATCTGTGGGGTGTTGGCTTATTTAGTATCATGTATGAATGTTTGTTATTGTTTTATTGATTAGGTACTTAGAGGATGCCATGGGGAAACATGTTTATCTGCCTACAAAAAGCTTAAAAGTTTAGTGGTAGAGATAAAATATTTAAAACGTCAATGTCATAAGTATTTGTTCTCCAGATAAAATAGATAATGGAATTATAAGATATGGAGTGGTTCTGGAATATTGCACAGTGTAGAAAAGAATAATTAGGTTGAAGCATAATCACTAAACATAATTAAATATATGTATAAATAGTTATACAAATGCAAATGAAGGAAAAATTAATTCTATCTTTGGGATGGAAGTTGAGACATCAAGTTAGGCTATGCAGAAGTGATGTTTGAGCTTTGAAGAAGAATCTGGAAAGAAGAAACATAAAAAGTATGCAAGTGTGAAAGTTCATGTACTTGAGGGAAACGATCACATATTTTTATATGCATTTAATCATTTATTATGGCAGTGTGAAAGACAGTGGAAAGAAGGAGGAAGACAAGTACTCATAAACTAAAATCTAAGCAGTGCAATAAATACTATGGCAGAGGGAAGAATTGAGCTATGAGAATCCAAGGAGGGATTATAGGATTAGAAAAGTCCTCATGGATGAGGTCTCATTTACGTAGTTTGAAGTTAGCCTTAGAGAGAAAATTGTAATTATTTTTTTAGCGCTACCTTTGGTTTCTATCATTCAAGTTTTTCTTAATAATGAGATCATTTTAAGTTTTTCATTCCAAAGCATCATTTTCATCCTTCTTTAGACAAATTTCCAGTTTATCTGTGTTATTGAATTATCTCTCAGTAGATAACTTGAGACCAACATTTGGGTGTAGGCAAGAGCTTCACATTTTTCTCTACAATTTCACTGGACATTTAAATAGCTTTAATTTTTCTACCAGAGTGCTTATTCAGCACTTAATTCGCTTAGAAAAAAGCAAAATATCATTGAGCCCTCCAAACTTCCATTAGGCCCCAATGAGCTGTTCTGGAACTTCATCTAAAGAAGGATGTGAAAAAGTTGGCCAGTTCAGAGGACTCCCACAAGGATGTTTAAACTTGGAAAATCAGACCTCCGAGAAAAAAAAAAGTGGTCCTATTTGGTGTGAAAAACCTACGTGTAAAAGGCAATTTAACATGTAATGATCTCCAAGTAAGTATGCAAAGGGCATATGCAGCTATTTTCTGTCTCCATTATGGACAGTTATGAAATCTACAGTTAACTGACAGTATGAAAAGTATGAATTCTGTAAAGAATGTCATGAAACACAGGGAAGTGAATTTCTGTAATGGCTTGTTAAGGCAAGTTGAGATATCTACATGAATCTTTAAAAACTAACGTATTTAGGGAACTTCTTGGCATAAATCATAAAATAAAAAAATCTATTTTGGAGAGACTGAAACTTTAAAAAATGTATAATTAAAATAATCAAGGATTCGACCATCTTATCTGAATAGGCTGGGGATCATCATGGGCCTCTAGATCCAATCATAATGTATATTGGACATAGATTTACAGAAGTACTTTTCAAAAATTATGAACAACTGCCAAAAATTGCCTAATGTTTCATTTGTGAATCACTGTAGGTGCCACTGTGCTAGTATTTCCTGCACATTTCTTATTACAACTATCTAGATTAGTTTTTCCTTCACACATGTAATATCCAATTGATTTCTCTTAACCTTTTTAATTTGAACAAGGCTTTAAGAAACATCTTATTCATTTATTCAGCAAATATTATTTAGTACCCACATTGTGCCAGGCTTCATCAGCATACCTACTGATAGGTTTTTCATATTAGCAAATTCAAACATAATAATACTCAAAATTATTTCTCAAAAATTAAGAAGTTGTATTATTTGCACATTTAAATGTTTTCACATTGTCATTTGGCCATTTATTGTATACTATATAATAAAAATATATTCAGGTAATAATATTTTGGCCTTCTTGCAATTGTTACTTTGCAGAAAATTCAAATCTATTTATTAACTAATTAATACTTTTAGTTCACCCTAATCCTATAGACAAAAAACTAATCTGCTTAGAAGTAGAATAATAAGACACCATATTTTTTTCTAGAGTAATTTCATGAGAAATATCCCCCTTATGAAAAATTTCATGAGAAAAATCTCTTTTATGAAAACTTGATATTTGTTTAACATCTGTAGCAAAGTCTAAACTTCACTAAAGGAAGACATCAATAACTGTCCCTTCAGTATGCCTATACTGGTTTTCAAGTGTGAAAATAGTTCAATAACCACTTTACCTATGAATCAAGTCTGAATTAATGTGATCATCTTGGATCATATTTATATTCATGATTTAATATACATTACTGAGGGCCTTTTGTGAGCTAGTTCTGTGCTAGGTTTTTCACCTACATTTTATTTTATTGTCATGTAGGTATTACTTCCATTTTTCCAATGAGGAAATAATCTCAAAAGATGTTAGGTGAATTGCTCAATGTAGTTAAATGGATTGTTCTGTACTATTGAGACCTTTGAAATCACAATTTTAGCATCCAATCTCAGTGTGCTTATCAGTTCCATGCTTTTTCTCTTCTTCATGCTGCCTCCTGTTACATAAAATTATTGTAGTAAATAACTCAGTCATTAATTTATCCTAATTTGTTGGGTTTTGCAGTTTGTTTTTTCATTTGTTCCTCAAAAGACTTGAGATGGTTTATAAAAATATACTTTTTTAAAATCCTAAAAGTTAATGTTTATAATTATCTGATAATTAAGAAAGAATCAGTAATCATTGAATGCCAGCAGGTAGAACACAATGTCTTTCAGTAATGATGTCTGAAAAACTGGCATGGCTGATCTTAACCAGTGGCCCAAACCTTGCTCTATGGTTTGTTTTCTTTCAACCCTTACAATTCATACCAGGTTTTTGCCTGTTTCTAGGTCCATCTGTTAATTACTGCAACTAGAGTCAGAGATGGTTTTGTGGGCCAGATAACAGTCATGTATCATTTAAGATATCCAAGATGTTCTGGAAGCTTCTCCATTAGACTGTCACTTTTATGAAATTGAGGAAGTCATCAAAGTCTTTTGGAAATCCCATTCCAGATCTTATGATGTATTCTGTTGAAATCACATTTTTTGACCTCTGAATACTTCCCCAATAGCAAAAATTTATATATATTTATGTTTACCAAACACGGTTACATCTGAATCATGCGATCACTTTCTCCCTTTAAAATATAAAGAAACTGTCTGGTTGTGGTGGCTCACACCTGTAATCCCGGCACTTTGGGAGGCTGAGGTAGGCAGATCACTGGGCTCAAGAGATCGAGACCATCTGACCAACATGGTGAAACCCCGTCTCTACTAAAAATACAAAAATTAGCCAGGCGTGGTGGCACGCACCTGTAGTCCCAGCTACTTGGGAGGCTGAGGCAGAAGAATCACTTGAACCCAGAAGGCGGAGGTTGCAGTGAGCCGAGATTGTACCACTGCACTCCAGCTTGTCGACAGAGCAAGACTCCGTCTCCGAAAAAAAAAAAAAAAAAAAAGGAAATTGAACCAATGATGATTGGAAAGTTACTCAAAGTCAGCAAGTCAGTAGGATATGAAATTGTGATTCAACTGTAGAAGTTCTGACTCCAAATTTCTGAGACTTCTCAGTTTACTTTTGTTTCCCAGGCAACAATATCTTTAGTGTAATAGGGATAAAATGGTTTCAGGGACTAAGATAGCTATATAAAATGAGATACTATAATTCCACTTAAATGTGACAAAAATCCAAGATAATCTTGAAAAGGTTAGATTGGAAATAAAAGAAAGCCTTTGCTTTTATGTCTTTGTCCACACTTGGTCTTCTATATTTCATTTAATTGTTTATAATTTTATTCATTCTGCTTTACTTTCACTACTCTTATGCAGTCCTATCCAGAAAGATAAAGGAGGAAATGTGAGAAGAAAGGCAAGCTTGGGAAATCAGAAAAGTTTCAGTAGACCAAAACTGAGGCTAGAAAGGCAGCAAAAGAAGAGAAAAAATGGGAAGGGAACTGATTTTGAAATACATTCTTATTAAAGTGAAAAAGCTGTTAAAGTTAGGTTAATAAAGGTTGTGCTGCTGTAACAAAGAACCTTCATTTTGCAGCTGCTTACATAAATAAATTTAAGTTCTTTTTTTCTTATAAGTACATGGTTTTTGTTTTGTTTTGTTTTGTTTTTTTTTGGTTTGCTTGTCTTTCTTCCCCTCCCTTCCCCTTCTGTCCCCTCCCCTCCCCTCTCCTCTCCTTTCCTGTTTTCAGAGCCTGTGGCCGAGGCTGTAGTGCAGTGGTATGAGCTCAGCTCACTGCAACCTTTGTTTCCTGGGCTTCAGTGAGTCTTGTGCCCCAGCCTCCTGCGTAGCTGGGTTTACAGACATGTGCTGCCGTGCCTGGCCAATTGTTGTGTTTTTTGTAGAGAGGGGGTTTTACCACATTGCCCAGGCTGATCTTAAACTGCTGGCCTCAAGTCATCTGCCCACCTAGGCCTCCCAATGTGCCGAGATTAAAGGTGTGAGCCACCACGCCCAGGCATCTTGTAAAGTACACCGGAAATCTGGGAAATGTTCTAAGGCAGCTCCCCTTTCTGTTACGGCCCAACATTTGGGGATGCTTTTAATTTATGGCACTTCTACTTCTCCATGAGGTCTGTGAGTCATGGCAGCCGAAAGAGAAGGCTGGAGAGTTAAGCACTGGTTATCTGATGAGCACCTCTAATTATATTTCATTGTCCAGATTAAGCCATACCTTATATCTAGTGGGAGGAGAATTATAGTCTTCTCCTGTGACTGGAAGTAGAAGATAATTGGCTACTGGTGAATAACAACCTTGTCTTTTACAGTAGTTACCGGAGAAAAACATCAATGGTCACTCAGAAAAAAAAAAAAAAAAAAAAAAAGTGGTACTTCTACAAGGATTCAGTCTATCCTTTAATTGTCTGCCTAGATTATTGAATTCAGAGGTAGCTTAGAATTAGGGATAAGAAAGAATGTTGCTTTTACCTTTATTTTCTATTATTGCATTGATCAATTCATTTCTTGTACCTAGGTTCTTAAGGCCTTTGGGAATATAATGAGAGAAAAGTAAACATTAGGCACAGGCATTTTTAAAGTCTCTTTATTATGGAAATGAGATGGGAAATCAGTACATTTCTTTTTCTGAGATTTGCTAGGATGTTTTTAGTCATGTCAGCCTAAGACATTAGGTTTTCTGTCAGGATAATACAATCAAATACAGTCATGCACTTTAAAACGACATTCCATTTAGTGATGGACCACAGATACAATGGTGTTCCCATAAAATTATAATATTATGCCTTTATTGTACCCTTTCTACATTTAGATATGTTTAGATACACAAATGCTTATTATTGTATTACTGTCACCTACAATATTCAGTACAGTGACGTGCTGTGCATGTTTATATTCTAGGAGCAAAAGGCTACACCATATAGGTTTATGTAGGTACACTATGTGGTATCCACGCAATGATGAAATCACCTAATGATGCATTGCTCAGAATATATCCCTGTCATTAAGTGTCACATGACTATAGTTAAAAGATGCTTAAAAAACAGAGAACAAAAAGTAAATTATCTTACTACAGTATACTTAAAGATTAAATCAGAACTTGATTTTACTCTCATGACTTTATATCTTTTGACTTCACCTGGACATGATTTTACATTCATAAGAAAAATACATTTACATTACTTAGAAGAATAATTCTTAATTCTTAATTCAGACTCTAACTGCCTGATTTACTCATTGCTTTATTCTGTATGCTACAAGAAGACATCAACATGTCTCTTGTCTTGTACAATAAGTCATGGTACTGAGCATACTTGCACAGTAAATGATTCTGTGTAATAGACATTATTACATGCCTAAGTACCCATGAGCAAGTGTTAAAATTGGAAGCATGTGAATTATTCTTTTTTGGAAGAAATAAGAAGTTACTATTAGCAGATTCCTCATATAGAATTAGTATCGGGTTTCGTAGGCTTTTTTTTTTTTCAGGCTCTGAGCCTCACATCAAAATAGTGAAATAGACAGGTGCTTGATTGAACCACACCAGTCTCAGGATCTCCAGAAACCTCTTCCTGATTACTTTTTCTTCTTTACACTACTATTCTCCATTCACATACCTCCATTTTTAAATTTTAAAATATCTTATTTCTTGATTTCCTGATGCCTTAAATAACCAATTTGTAATATCTGGCTGCTCTTGGATTAACATTTGCGGAGGACAAGCTTGCCCGACCTTCAGTCTGTGGGCACATGCTGCCCAGGACAGCCTTGAGTGTGTCTCCCCACAAATTCACAAACTTTCTCAAAACATTATGAGTTTTTTTTCTTTTTTTTCTTTTCTTTTCTTTTTTTTTTTTTTTTTTTTTTTTTTTTTTTTGCTCCTCAGCTATCAGCTATCATTAGCTTTAGTATATTTTATGTGTGGTCCAAGACAATTCTTCCAATGTGGCCCAGGGAAGCCAAACCACTAAACACTCTGTTTTAGGCTATAAGGTACTCCCATTATCTTTACAGTCCCTACCTAATACACAGTTCTGTATAATTTAGTGTTAACTCCTGACTGAAAAATTCTCATTATTTATAACTATAAATGTGATATAATTGTCTCTCTGCATATTTACTCTATCTTATTTATTTAAGTTGTCTTCATTGTGGACTGTAATGATTGTCGAATTCTGTGTACATAGCTAGATCTTAGGGAGAAATGGGTAAGGGGAAGATGTTCCAACGGGAGCAGTCGAAGAGGAGAGGAATTTTAAGACAATAGGTGTCCAAAAAGGAGATGTCAAAGTACATTTTAAGTAGCTGACGTTCACAACAGGTGAATGTGTGAAAACTTTGGGGATGTCTTTTAAGAAAAATGGCATTTATCAAAGTGATCTAAATTTTCTTTGCTCTGAGGATATACCCATTTCTAGTATGCTTACTATCCAATGTACCAGATCCAAATCAGCTTGTATTCTGTAAAATTAATATATGTTTTAGTTTTAACATCTTAATTTTGTCATGACTTTTGGATATATTTTCATATTATTATTGCTTATTAACATCCTATATATTAGAAAATTAATGTATATTATAAACATAAGTATATAGAGTATGTTTTATTTACATTTTTTATACTCATATTTATATTATCTTTGTTCTTAGATAGATTTCTCCATGGATACTTTGTTTGTATGTATTTGCTTTATTATTATGGTCTATTTTGCTCATCAAAATGTGCATTTATATGACTTTCGTTCCAATTTTAGTATATGTGCTGCCGAAGCGAGCACAATATATGACTTTCAATATTGTTCTGTGATTTACTAAACTCCCCATAAATAGACATAACATTACTTTTAGCTTTTACAAGTGGATATGACACAAATAATAATCTAGGAATTATTTTTATTCACCTGAACTGCCTAATTCCTGATAATGTTATAACAAATTTTAAAATTCATTTTATAAATAAAGTCATTTTACAACCAAAGGAAAGTTTACATACTATTCTTACATGAAATTCAGTTTTAGTTAATTTTTATTATATCCTTTTTCTCATTAACTATTTAGTAAGAGCATTCACATATTCCCAGTGATGGTGATGAAATACCTCCAGGGAAAATGTGTTTTACTAAAAATTGTTGCACTATAATATTGCCAGAATTAAATCACAAGAAGAAAATACTGACATTCTTTTGAAAAAGTCATTGGACAATTATGTTGATTAAATTAAGTCACATTAAAGTCATGACATGAAAATCTGTTGGCCCAGGAACTGCTTATGTCAAAAAGGAAAATATTTTAAGAACAAATATATTATTATAGTGTTTTCATACATACAGGATATCAACACTGAACTTGAAGGATCTTCTTTGTGCTGTTGGTACTACAAAAATTGCATCCACATTTGTACTGCTGAAAATGTTCTCCAATTCTCTTAGAGGAAGATTTGCCACCTACTGAAGTTTCAGTAACTAAACCATGTGAATACATTCCAGAGGAAATGACACTCACTTTTCTTTCTTTTTCTTCTTTTTTCTTCTTCACATTTAAGGGTCCTGACAACTGTACAAAGTGCTCGCATTTTAAAGATGGCCCAAACTGTGTGGAAAAATGTCCAGATGGCTTACAGGGGGCAAACAGTTTCATTTTCAAGTATGCTGATCCAGATCGGGAGTGTCACCCATGCCATCCAAACTGCACACAAGGGTAAGCATCCTTGCTGGCCAGGGACTCACCCGGTATGTGTTATCCACAGGTATCTTTATCCCTGGTACCATCTCTGAAATGTATCACATTCTCTAGAACTCTACTAATCCTTATATTTAAAATGCCGATTTTAAGAGAAATACTAAGAGAATGTTTTAAGGAATCAACTTTGTACACTCTTCAATATTTCTGCTTAGCTTTTGCCTATAACCATTCTATTAACACCTTCGTGAAGCTAGTGTCAAGTATACCTTGGATGCAGTTTAGAAACTCTTCCAAATTATATTGGAGATTCAAAATCTCAGAAAAAAATATGACAGTAATCATGGTTTTGAAGTTTGTGTTTATAAAATCTTTAACAGAAGTCTTCTATTTCTGTTTTTTTGTTGTGACATCAGCTTAAGGTGAGGATATTTCTCTTTGATATATACTACCTTAAATTACTCCTTCAAAACCGTATGAACAAGGTAACAATGGCAGGAAGAAAGGGAACCTAGTGATACGTATATTTAAAAAAATAATGAGTACATTTTGCGAAAGTAACCTTGTAACAGGTAATCCTATAGTGTTGAAATTCTTTGACTGATATGGGGCAATCTGAAGCTTGGTAAACATTTTTCTGTTTTTCAAAAAATGCATTTCGCAATGAATAATAATTAGATTACCTTTGATATTGATAGCAGTTGAATAACAAAGACACATCACAGAAAGAAGAAAAGCACTGAACTGTAAAAGAAATAATGTCACTCATCTAACAAATTCTGACAACAAATATATCTTAGTAAGGATTTTTCTTTTTTATTCCTCCAGAAGGTGAATAATTAGTAATTGAAAGCAGTGTTACGTTTACTATCCTTCTGTCCATAAAGCCTTTTCTCCATTGTGAATGCCCATAGACATGTGTGCGTGCACACACACACACACACACACACACACACACTTGTAGTTGAGAATCAGCTTGAGTACTTTTTATCTGGCAGGAAAGTGTGAGATTCCATAAAGAGATTTTCTGCCAGATTAAGGACTAGCTGTTAGGGGGATACTGAAAAAGTTAAGCAAGCGACAACGTATCCTGCCAAGAAAACATCAATTTGCAGATGCTGCTACAATTTCCTGCAGGTCAAGAAATAAGCTTAATTCACTCTGTGAAGTGGCAGATCCTGGAAAGGTAAAGTAATATTCTGCCATTCAAATTCAAATTCAGCTTGGAAGAGGTAGCTGCCAACTCATTGGTTCATACATAAGCAAATATACGTTTAGGGTACTGAAAAGTCACATAGACACTTTGCTTCAAGGAAACTAGAGGTAACTGCTATCCTTGTGAGTTTTTGGCACACTTGAGTTAAGAGCGTTGCACAAAAAAACAACTGGTCCTGCTGGAGCAGAAGAAAGAGTCAGCAACAGAAAGAGAAAACTTTGCCTGCTAAAATCATCCACAAGAGAATTTTGTTGTTTCGCAGCTAAAATTAAACCAGTAAATTATTCAATATAATGTCGATGTCAACAGCTGTTGCCATTCAAAATGAGACCTTTTGCTGTTTTTGCAAATCTAATTACAATGAACCATCAGGGAAATGAAAGTGAAATCACAGAGCCATAGTCTGGTTACGCGGCTGGTGTGTCTTCCTTTCTGCCCTTTTAAATCATTATTATATAATAATAATAAACATATATGGGGGAAGTAGAAATAAGAAGCAATGAAAAGAGATTAATATATGGTAGCAACAAAATCTGGACTTCAGTCAAAAGGAAGGATGAAGGTGTAATGGGGAGCAGATCTCACTAGAGCATTTGGGAACTCCAAGTGAATAGAAAAAAGACGCCTTTAGCAATTTGCAGCTGCAGAATTAAGCTGAGACAGAATTTGAATATTGTGTCCCTGGCATCTTCCAAGGTAAATGCATTCTCTAATGACTGACTTAATCCTCAACGATTTTTGTCTCTGTTTTCGTTTAAATTTCTGCCATCCTGTTTTTGTTTTTGTTTTGAGACAGAGTCTCCCTCTGTCCCCAGGCTGGAGTGCAGAGGTGTGATCTTGACTCACTACAACCTCTGCCTACGGGTTCAAGCGATTCTCCTGCCTCAGCCTCCCTAGTAGCTGTGACTATAGGCTAATGCCACCACGCCCAGCTATTTTTTGTATTTTTAGTAGAGATGGGATTTTACTATGTTGGCCAGGATGGTCTCAATCTCTTAACCTCGTGATCATCCACTTTGGCCTCCCAAAGTGCTGGGATTGCAGGTGTTGGCCACTGTGTCCAGCACATCTTGTTTTTAAAATCCCTTCTATATTGTCCAGATTCACTCACTTTATTAAAATGCTATGGTTCTAGTCCCAGAGTATTCTAGTCCCAGAAATTTCCCAAGGATGTGATTCCTAAAATCCTAATATATACTCTACTACAGTGCAACCATTGTACTTTGAGATCTTTTACTGAAGCAATAAGATGTTCTGTGCAGTCAATCCCTTTTTTCCAAATTAAGCACATAGAGATAATGATATTTTCCTAGGAAAACCACAGGAGCAGTGGGGATGATGGAACAAGTGACTATCTTTATTCCTAAACACAGGTGATTATCAACTTATCAGTAAGTGTGAGTGCAGCAGGCCGGTTCCACTTTGGAAAACAGCTTTTCTTTTATATGCCTATATGATGTCAGATAATTCAAGAACGAGGTTAATGGAAATAGTCTTTCAAATCACATATTTTAGAAGTTCTTACTTTGAATACTATTTAATGATTTTTTCTGAAAATAAAGTTATCTGTGTCATACTTTAAAAGCACTTTTACCACTCTAAGAGTACATTAAATATAATGGCTCTAACAAGTTATCTAACACTTTTAAAATAGGTCATTCATTTAGCCCTTATCAGAAGATTCTCACTAATACCCATGGAAACAACAAGATTGTCTCTTCATACCCTGACTAGAGAATTTTTATTTTAACAGCCTTTCCTCATTTTATTCATTCTTCAACTTTGTTATATTGGATATCTGTTCTGCATCACATACAGCGATACGAAAATTCAGAAATGAGCAAGACACAACTCCTGACCTCTATGAACTCACAGTCCAGTGAATGTATATTCTCTAATTTATATCCTTTGTTAGCAACTGGACCATGCTCCACAGTATTTTGAAATGATGAGCAATAATTTAAAACTTAGTTCAGATTTGAAATTAGCAAGATAGAATTTTTTTTAAATTTATAAACTAAAGTAATTAAATTGTGATGAGGGCAAAGATGATTGTTTCCTCACTAACATCACTTGAGTATGTGCAAATTTATTGTCAGTTTAATTTTGGTTTTGTATCAAACCAAACCTGCATTTTAGACTTGTAACGAAATGTCATTCATGGGCATCTTTTAAAAAAATCTCATTGCACGTTTTTGTTGATATTAGAATAGTGATTTCATATTATTAAATTTCATGTGTACCTCAATCCCTTGTTTATCAATTTAAAAATATTCTTAAACTTATATAACAAAAGATTTTTTATTGACGAAGAGATGGAAAGAAGGGCTACTTGTAGAAGTATTGTCTATAATCTTTTAATGAACAATTTTAAAAAGTTTCCTGTATTTTTATTTCCAAATTTAAAGATTTAATCATCTAAACTGTGTTGGTTAGGAGTACATCAAGGAGCTTAGACATCATTATATACCGACATAGGTTTAATATTCAGAATTTCAGATATTGTTTTGGAATTTGTCACACGTCGTATTTTATTTTTCTGATCTGTCTGTAAGTATTCTACTTTGAAACACTTACTTCTGTAGTTCTATTATTCTAGATTTTGATTCAGTTATTACTTTGTGATTTTGGCTCTTAAAAAGTTTAATATCTCTGTTGCACTATGATGTTGCTGAATGGATGCAAATGGCATGTACTAATTAGTTGCTTACAGAAAATACAAAGAGATTAAAAACAATATACATCGTTTAGTTTTCAGCGGCTTGTGTTTAGAAAAGGTGAAGCACTTCAGTCATATTCTTATCTTTCTTTGTCTTTCATCCTCAGTTTAAAAATAGGCTTAAATCTCAAATATCCTACGAAATCCCTTCAACAACTTTTCTTGATCCTAAGTCCTGTTTCTTCAGTCCCTCCACCCATTTCTCTCTGCCTCTATTTTTCTATTTCCAATTTGCTTCTCAACTTGTAAAAACCTACATTCTTGTGACCAGGACAATGACAATTAAAATTCTCTTAAGACTGATTTTACCAGACTTCGCTGCCTTTCTCACTGATGGTCACCCCCTCTTTCTTAAAGTTCTTTTCTGATTTGACTTCCTTGAGACTACAGTTAATTGTTTTTATTCAGTTTTCAATTATATTTTCCCATGCTTCTGGCACAAAGAACTCATGTCATATGCTGTTGAGGTTCCTTGGGTTTCCATCTTCAACCTCTGCTTTTCTCATTTTTTATGTCTTCTTTAGCCATCTATTCACTTACCTGATTTCAACTTTCTCCTACATGCTCTTTCAAAACTGATCATTATACTCATGCCTTCTTTCCCCCTTAGACACTCATCTTTCCAACTGCTGATAAACATTTATACCTAGATTTTATCATAGGTATAAACATTTATACCTATGATAAACGTTTATACCTAGGACAACCATACGAAACTCTACCTATACAAAACAGAAATTATCAACCCCTCATTCCGTAACACATACAGGAAAAAATGTATTCTTCCTCTTGGATTATCTCAATGATGGTGCCACTGTTATCAAAGCTAGAATGTAAATCTTCCTTAACTCTGTTGATCTTTTCACTTTTATCGAATCAAGGATCACCTTCCCTTTTGTATTCCCTCTATCTTTTGAGATATTTCTTGAATCTGTTCCTCTGCCTTCATCACAGTTACCATTTCCCTAGTTTAGTTCATCATCTCTAACATGGACTAAAATAGTCTTTATGCCAAAGGAGTCAGCCTGGGTGCCAGTTGACCAGTGTCCACAGGGCAAGGAGATTTCTTGAAAATACAAATCTGGCAACTTTCCTACTTCTTTAAAACCCTGTAGTGATTTTCTATTGATTGTTACTAAGCAAATCTTTCTCCAAATTTGGCTCCCATCTAATATTCTAGCTTCTTTTTTCTCCTGTCTATTGCCTCATATTTTGCTCTCCAACTACTAAGAATTGTTTGCAGTTGTTTGCATATACAATACATTTCTTCAGGTGTGTGCTTTTGCTCTTGCAGAAACCACCACCACCCCAACCCCAGCTCATAGCACTCTAAACGTCAGCTTCCTACCATGCCCTGCTTGGGTTGCTCTAGGTGTCCCCCCTCCACACTACCCTGAACCACCTTTTCGTGTTTCTTATTACATTTTTCACATTATTCAATACACATCTATTTATGCATCTGTCTCCTTCATTAAATTCAGAGCTCATTGACAATAGAAAAATGTCTAATTCATATTTTTTTCTCCCTCTAACTCTTAGAATACTAGGAACACTTAGATCTGTAACACAGGGCTTTTTTTAATGAATGAGAATCTTTCATATTCACTCTTTTCCCTCAAGTTGAATTTCACTTTTGAAATTTTTAAAAATCTTTCAAGGGTTTTTATAAAGATGGATTGCAAACTAATCATAGCTTTTTAGATTCTCACTTGGAAACAAGAAGAAGACTTTTACTTTTATAAAATGATAATATGGTATAAAAATAATTTTCAAGAGGATCAAATAGGAGCTTAGAAAAAACAAATTCTTTAGAATATAATAAAAAGAAAACTATGTAAGACAAACTGGAAGCTTTTTTAGTAGTTAATTTTTCATTTTTAGAAATGATTTTGACTATAGATTATATATAATACAAATTTATGCTATGTACTCTAGGTTTTTTTTCTTTTTAGTTGCTTTTTAAAAGACTTCATCTAGGTGTATTTTCTCTATTTCTGTAGGTTAAAATTTGTCTGTGCTATTCAAAACAAAAAAAAAGGAACCACTTTTTCAGCTAACAGGAATGTTATAACAAATGTTTATGAGACAGAGAGATAAGTGACTTAATTGTTATTATAGGTATGTTATATTAGTTCACCAATATTTAGAGTGATTTAAAGATATAACAGATAGACTGGCCTTATACATAGGGACCTTTTTACATCATTATATTATGATCCTAACTTCAGCTTCCTTTTCAAATTTGAAAATTAAAAGTTTGAAAATATATGTAATCTTTATTACCAGAGAAATAAGGCACTTTTATAAATCATAAGTGTAAGAAGAATCTTGATAATGTTCTATATGTCTTTTATGGGAGAAAAGAAAAGAAAAACAGTTCAGGTGTATTGGAAGATAAAAGAAATTATACTTCTATATTAGTTCAAAATGAAATTCTAAGGACAGTACATTAAAATTCTGTGTACTTACATAATTCTATTTAAATGTTAATCTCAGTGTATTCTTTACTTACCTGGGTCTCATTTATTCATTTCCTTGCAGAGTATTTATTTATCTGTTATTGTTTGAATTCATTATTATGGTAGTTTAAAAACCTATTTTTATTTTCCTGTTACGGTATTGCTATTTTAAAAGAGAGTGTCAAGATAAACTGCAATATGGTGAAACCAGTTAATTTGCTTTTTAAATAAATTCATGTTTAAAGATAAGTATGTTTTAAAGACAGACACAATCAAGAGCCAGAATAATGTGATTATGTAAAGTATCCACGAATATGGCATTAAATATGTTGACTCATTTTCTGCCAAAATCAATCTTTAATGAGTATTGAGCATCAGTTTATTATATTATATTATATTATATTATATTATATTGAATTGCTCATGGTTTTCTTATTGATTTGTTTTTGTATTTAAACTTAAGGCTTTTTAGAGGAAACCATAAACTTCAAAAGAATTATAGTCATTGAAATATTAACTTATTTGTCAAGACATGTAATGACATATGAATTGAAAGTATCAGAAGTGAGCTGTGTGTTTGGAAGTTATTCACAGAACCAGTGTAAAATTTCCTTTTACTGCAGACATTTCTTTGCATTCCAGTTGGTTGATAACAGCGATTCATTTCTGTGTATTCATCAAGCAAAAATCTTCTTGCTGGCTTGAAATTCATTGTGTTCCAAAATAGTCTAATAGTTGTTTATAAGAATTCAAAACAATCAATATTTATTTTACTGATTTTTTTAAATGACTAATTTTTCTCTCCTTGTATTTTTTTAAATTCGCATCTTCTGCAGGTGCATAGGCTCAAGTATTGAAGACTGCATTGGCCTGATGGATAGGTACTTGGTGTGCTTGCTTCCCATGTTCTTTTAAGGCTCCACGTGTGAGCACTGGTGCATGTGTGTGCATGTCACTGTGGATGGAGAATGATGTTTTCTGTTCTGTAATTGCCTGCAGGTGTAACGGTCCCACTAGTCATGACTGCATTTACTACCCATGGACGGGCCATTCCACTTTACCACAACATGCTAGGTAACATCTACCATGTTTCCATTTTGTCGCTCAAATCCTTTCCTAGTTATCATGAACAAAAAGTGCTAACCAGTCGGGTTAAGTTTATAATATATTATGAGTTAAAATATATTATAAATTTAATATATCAAATTAGAAAGTTTCAAAAGAGGCATAAAACACTTTCTTTCTCAAGCTAACTTTCTTACTTCTTTTTTCTTCATTCATTGTGATACAAGAGTCCAAGTTAGTAGCACTATCTTTTCTTTTTTCTTCTTCTTCTTCTTTTTTTTCTTTTTTTCTTTTTTTTTAACTGAGTCTTGCTCTGTTGCTGAGGCTGGAGTATAGTGGCACCATCTTGGCTCACTGCAACCTCTGCCTCCTGGGTTCAACCAACCAATTCTCCTGCCTCAGCCTACCAAGTAGCTGGGATTATAGGCTCCCACCACCATGCCTGCCCAGTTTTTGTATTTTTAGTAGAGATGAAATTTCACAATGTTAGCCAGGCTGGTCTCAAACTACTGACCTCAGGTGATTTGCCCGCCTTGGCCTTCCAAAGTGCTGGCATTACAGGTGTGAGCCACACACCCGGTCTTGATTTTTAATTTGTGTAGTCTAAATAGGATTTTGAGTTATTAATATAGAAATTTGATAGGCTATTGTTGCTCTTAATTCAGTAGATGATTACAAAAATATTTGTAATGAAGGAAATTGCGAAAGTTGATCTATGCTAATGTTCGTTATTTAATTTAATTCAATTTCTGATCTTAGATTTTTAACTGGTTGGCATATTCTTCAGGTACAAGAATTAACATAAAAGCAATATAGAAAATATTTTTTGCAGGTAAAAGTTTAATTTGAAATAAAACATAAGACCCATTTCTACACAAAAACCTATATATTAATGTTTGTAGTGGCTTTTTCATAATCACTCAAAACTGGAAACTACTCAATTGTTCTTCAGTTGGGGCATATCCATATATTGTAATACCATTCAGCAATATAATAAAAAGAAACAAACTGCTGATACACCCAACAACATGGATGAATCTCAAATATATTACACTAAGTGAAAGAAATCAGACTTAAAAACCACATACTGTATGACTCCATTCACATGGCATTCTGGAAAAGGTGAACCTATCAGGACAGAAATGTTGCCAGGGGCTAGAGACTTGGTGATAAGGTTTACTGGAAAAGGGAAAAAGAGAATTTGAGGAGATAATGGAACTACTCTTCTATCTTGATCTTGGTGATGGTTGGACAAGAGGGTATGCTTATCAAAAATTGTAAAACTACATATTTTACTATATAAAATTATACCTCAATAAACCCGACTTTAAAAATATCTCATAAAACATTTTCTGGATAAGAAAATGGTAATTTAACCATCTTATGTAGAGATATTATTAGCTTTATTTATGAAACAAATTAATGACATCCTTCTGGAAGTGAGAAGTTCCAGAAGTTCTAAAGTTAACAAAATGGGAATTTTGGATGAACTATTATTGCCTTTTAATGTAAACTCTTGTATTGAAGTATATATAAGTGTAAAAGTACACAAAACATAATTGTAAAGCTCAGTGAATTTCAAAAAATAAAACATTTGTGTAGCCATTAACCAGATCAAGAAACAAGATGGCAACAGAGCCCCAGAAGCTACCTTGTACCCGATTCCAAGGGTAGCCACTGTCCTGAATTCTAACGCCATAGGTCAGATTGCCTGGTTTTTCGCTTTATATAAATTTAGTCATACAGTTTGTATTCTATGCATCTGGCTTCTTTTGTGAAATATGATATTCATGAGATTCATCTCTGTCTCTGAATTTAGTCATAATTATGACTAAATTATGACTAAAAAGCAATAACATATGAATGAAGAATTCTTCATTGCCTTTACATGTTTTTAAAATAAATACATGATATGTCATCTTAATATATCATTTTCAATGAATAGAAAAATTAAATTCTGAAAAAGAAAAGCATGTGCTAGAGTTAATTGATTTCTACAACAGTGGCACTTTGACACTTGGACACAATCAAGACTAGTTAGTATAGTTATTTAGAGCAAGGTAAAATTATGAAAAAATCAGACAGACAGAGGAAGAGAGTGCTTAAGGCCTAAAGGATAGCTTTATAAGCCAAGGTTCATCTTAGATTGTTATATTTATGAAGTAAGTTTTCCTTCTTGAGACCTGGGCAGAGCAACTGCATTATCAATTTGAAGAGTTTTCACATTTGCTTTGACGATTTTCTTATAATTATGTAATTATTCTAGTGGACTAGTTAGGAGTAATATAGTACAGTGATTAAGTGTTCTTAGAATTAGATTTTTTGAGTTCAGAGTCAGGCTCTACCATTTTTAGATGTGTGACTGTGGGTAAGTTCCTTATATTATCTGTGCCTCACTTTCTTTGTGTATAAAATGGGAATATTAATATAGCTCATAAATTGTAAGGTTGAATGTATCCTTAGAACAGCGCCTGGCTCAGAAATAATTCAATAAGTGTTATTAATTATCTTTCTATATATCAAAAATTCTCAAACCTTTGGGATGAGAGAACATGCTTCCCAGGGGGCGGAGGAGAGAGGTCTCTAAAGTCACACAGGGAGCTTTGATATGTACCTATAGCTTTTTTGATGGGCTCTTTGAAGGAAGGGAGGCCATTTCTTTCTCTTTACCTTGAGACTCTTGGTTACAATGTTGGCCACTAACCATGGTAGGTCGTTGGCTGATATGTAGAGTCAGGGAAAAGGCTAAAACCACAGTGATAGATCACTTGTAGTTCTTAATGCTTGTAATTTAGGTTATTTAACTCAAAATCATAGTGTATCTTGTTATAGATTTAATATTTTCAAAAGTTAAAAAAAAAGCATTATTGGAATTCTCAATCCTCTTGCCTGCTTCGGCTTCCAGGACATAACCTATAATCTCAGACTAAAACACCTAGTTCAGATTAGCTTTATCATAAATAGGTGACAATGGCCAGTCACTGTTTATAGACAGTGCAAAAAGGACAGCCCATCATTCCTGGGGAGAGTCACCTGTAGCCCACAGTATAGGTGAAGAGCAGAGATTCTTGAGTGTCTGTGTTCAAATATTGGCTCTACCATGTTTTGTCTGTAAAGCGGGAATTATAATGATAGTTTTGAAACTGGCAATTCTTATCCCTTAAGACTGGTGTGAAGATTAAATGAGATAATGCACAAGAGCCGCATAGAGCATATGTTCACTGGTGGTACTTACTACTCCAGTTGAAATATTGGCATAATAATCACTTTGAAAACCGCATAAAGTTAGTAAAATTTACGTATCAACAAGGCATTAATCCAGAAGGTTAGTGACTACGGGATTGACATATCAAAATTACTCAGGTTTTAAGCATTTAAATGTTATACCAAACTTCTAAGTACAATAATTTAAAATAATTCATAGTGAAGGTTAATTGTTCCTTTTAGAAAACTCTAGATATCTTTAATTAATACCTATTTAGAACTTAAATATAATACAAGTGAACCCATTGTTTGATTGCATTGACTTGTCAGAATCAATTGGCTTGTCAGGGGGTTTGAAATTTCCATAAATGATTTAGCCTGGACGCTTTCCAAAAGTGTGTATGACCATGGAACATTTGGATGCAGATTGAGTAAGACGTGAAAGCAACAAGTATCTGCTTTTTCAGGTCTTCAGTATTGCAATAAATGTTTATCTCTCTGAGATGAGGTGGGTGTGCATTTCAGTGAAAGCAGGGTACTGGTTTAGTAATATTATTTTTAAATTTCATCATAGTTTTTTAAAACATCTGTCAATTGATTAAAGTGAATCTTACATAATGGGAGGGCAAAAACCACAAATAAAAGTAATTGTTTTGAGTTTCTTAAGTCATATTTTAACTGGCAGAATGTCCGAATCAAATGCCTAGTGTTTTTTAGTCACAGAAAATTATGTTGAGCATATCAGTGTGGCCATTTCAAAATATTTAGAGTTCACATTCTCTACCACCCCATTATACTCTATTCTGTTTCCTAAACCAGCAGGAAAAAAAATATGAAGATTTAAATGAAAGTGGGTAAAATATTTCCAGTTTTGATCAACTTTCATTTTCTAGGCAGTGTTGTTCTTTCCCAAGCCTACAATTTATGAGTTGGTTTCCACACTCCATTTATATTACAGGCTGCTGCAGGAATTTCTTCCAGGAAGATTGAATAAGATAGAATTGAATTTCTTTTTTACCTTTAGTTTCCTAGAATATGCTGTTTATAATGAAAATAATTCTTGATATTTTAGAACCTTTCCCTACTTCTCTTATCTGAATTAAGTGCCTTAAAAATAATATTTGCCTTTGGTTTTCTGGGTGGTTTTTCATTTCCATCAAGAATCCTATAAAAAATATGTTTAGCAAGGTTTTTTAAATCATTTTTTCTATATATTATTTATTCTACCTTGTACATGTACTATTTTCATATACATTCTGATGGAATAGAATATTTGATTCCAGTATATTTTAGATTCTTGGTCAAATATATATCCAGAGGTTTTTTTTTTTTTTTTTTTTTTTTTTTTTTTTTTTTTTTTTTTTTTTTTTTCCTGTAATCTCAGTCTCCTATTCTATTAGGGCTTAAATTTGTTAATCTAAATAAGTCAAGTTTCTATTGGAAAAACATTTCTTTATGTTAGTTAGCAGTCCACAACTCTTTTTAAATTTGTGAGAGAAATTATTAAAATAACTAGATATCAAGCATTTTTATCTAGCTACTTGTTCCAATTCAGTTATTCTAGTTGCTTCACAATATAAAATAAAGTCAGTGAACTCAGTTTAACTATCTA